TTCCTGCTTCACACTCACACAGCTGTTAAGGACTTCCTAGGTGTCTCACCTGGGGGATAACAAACCACTTTGTATCATATCTGTAACATCTCAAGAGCAATGCATAGCCTGGCTGATGGAGCTATTTAAAGTGAGAGCTTGGCCTCCCAGGTCTTAGCTGTGGATTCCTTGGGGTTGTTCCTACCTACCTGGAGTAGCTGGGTATCAACACAAGTACCTGGTGTGAAAAACCTGCTTGTGATGAATCTGTGCTTGTACTTCAGCGAGCCAGAAGAGCTTTCAATCAAGCTCATTCCTTCTTCAAAGCCAGGACAGATGCCGAGGCTGCCTCAAGATTTCCTGTTTCAGCAGGCAACACTGGGAGCTGTGTCATTTTACTCCTGCTAATGCTGGGTCAGTAACTAGTGGTGTCTCCCAGTTATACCTGTGTTTGTGTTAGTTCTTTACCTTTGATCTCCCATGTAAAGGGAGCACCTTACACAGCATATACAAGGGTACCCAGAAACATGAGGCAAAAGCCTGTGGTTTCAGCTTCTGGCAATGAATTGCCAGGTGTAGACTTTGCCCAAATCAGCAGCCCCCTGACATTTTTAAGCAGCTCTACTTCCCAACTCTCCCCCTCTGCCCATTACTGTCACTTTTCTCCTCATGCTCCAACAAAAATCCACCCTGGCACCATTTCTCACCCTCATCTCTCTCCCTCTTGCTCCACGCAGCACCAAACCAGACCTGCCCTTGTCCCTTTCCAACCTGCACTGCTCCTTCCTCGAGGGGTTCACTCTCCTTGTCCTTTTCCCTGAAATCCCTGCTGCTGCTGGAGCCCTGGGACAGTAAGACCTGGCTCTTTTAAGCTGTGAAATGACAATGTTCAGTCTTAACTAAGACCCAGCAGCAAAGCACTGGCTGGCAACAGATTTGCTTCTCCACTGAAGGACGTCGGGCAAAGAGGGGCAGAAATGCCCTGTCCGGGCAAAGCCAAGGGGCACCCAGGCATGAGGACTCCCTTCCCAAGGGGAATGCAACACCCGCTCCAGTGACGAGGGCCTGACGCTCTCCCAGAGCTGCTCGCCCCCCCAAACCCCGAGATCCCCTTCACCCCACGAAGCCCCGGGGGTGTGTGCGCTCCGGGCCGGGTTCCCGGCAGCCGGGGGG